CCATGCATTCCTTCCTCTTCTACGAGGTGAGCCCCAATCACCCATGATGACCGACTAAGGATGCATGTGGTACCCACGTTTTACTCCACCACTGGCACTCCTTTCTCTTCGATTCTACATCGTAGTCACCTCTTACATTTTCTCTTTCAAGATGGGTTCGTACAATTACCCAGGCCTTTATGTTCGCAAGGTAGTAGGGAACATATACAATCACTGCCCTTATGCCCTCTGCTCCCCCGTTTTGTGCCCTTCAACGTGTCAGGAGCCGTCATGAGGCTGTTCGCGTTTCAGTGCTCGCTTGGAAATTATCCTCTTTCCGGTGGAGTTTACGAACCAATGACAAGTCGGGTCAAAGCATAAATGAGAGACGGGTCAAAGCATAAACGAAAGACGGGTCAAAGCATAAATGAAAGACACGGACACTTGGAGATACTGTTCGATACGATGGACGAGATTGACCACTTATCGATAGCACAGTGACCCATGGCCGGTGATTCACTGTGTGCCCTCACATGGAGGTGGAAAGCCGCCGGTTCGTGCATCATCTCGATGTTCACACTCTTCTAACTTAGGATCGTCGAGATACCTGGCCGTCGGTGGGAGTCTCCGCTACGAGAGTGTTGACACCCAAGAAGCACCGGAGATAAATGTGATTGCAATGCAACGTGCAACGTGCATGCCTGGACACACGCGCCGTCAGAAACCTAATAGTACGGTCAACACGTCATCCACCCTGTCGTTCCAGGCTTCCTTCTGTTTTAGCGGGGAAAGAAGCCAGGAAGAATTGAAGGTCTCTGGATATTGGAACACGCTCGGATCCGTGATGAGTACCCTTAAACGTCACGACATCAATAAGCATGGAGCTTACTCAAGAAAATAAGTGAGAAGGTGAGGGGTCAATGCACTCGATGTTACCATAGACAAATGACGCCCTTAGGAATACCATAAAACGCCCCGGTAGTCGCGCGTGGAATAGCAAGTGAGACAACTGGCGCCACCTTTTCGCAAGTGCCAGTGTCAGTTAGTTTCAATACTGGAGGGACTCGTCGAAATTTGGACCATGCCCGGATCCGCTCGGTGAAGTCGGGGAACTAGAGCGCAAACACAGTGAGCTGATTAGAAAGCCCGGCTTGGATTAAGCCCATCCAATCAACAACCGATCATTGAGAGTGTGTACAAATGGTGCAGTCAGCGCATAGGCGACTCAGACCAAGGTCATACCCTGGCTACCACCCCTCGACATACAATCCTTCGCGATCCTAGCTTTGAAGAACTGTTTGACACCGTCCAGGAACGTGTCTGCGACTCGAGACCTCGAGGATCACAGACTTGTAATGCCAAATGAGGTATCGTGGAGATGCTCGGAGAGGCAAGCCAAGTATGTCTTTGCGCCCCGGTCGTGGATCTTCTCGAGAACTTAGGACGCTGTGCGCAACCATTGCTAGATAGGAGCCGGTTGGTAGACACTTAGACCATGGATCAGGTAAATTATGTACGTGCAGCTAACAACAGAAGCGATGGTCACTGTCTTCAAACGTGAGGCGAAAAAGACGTCAAGCTCCACGTCACGTACCGTCCGTACAATGTACTTCCCTGGGGTGCTGTGTTGTCTGGAAACGATGAGCAATCTGCATGTATAGTCAGATGTACGCTGACCTGGCGTGATCAGTCCTATCAAATGCCCCGATCGGGAACCCAGTCTCACCACTGATATTCTAAAGACGAGGAATGTTTCGGCGGAGCAACTTGAATCACCGTCATAGTAGTTAGAGCTGATCATCTTGTTCTTCGAATACAGCAACCATACGCTATTCCGGGCACGAGATCCAAGCACGAATACCACTTTACTGGGAGTGACGTATGACAATGCTCCTTCGAACATCTGTTGCTAACCGTAAAACAGTACGGACTTCCTACCCATGCGTGCTGAAGTTATTCCGGAAATACGGGATGAGCTCAACTGAGTTGACAAATGAACTCATCTCATGTCATCTTCTCCTGATCTTGTCCTGTTCATCGAACAGAGAACTGGGACCATGGCATCCAAAATTTCGTGCCTTCTGCAAAACCCATACATCCACAACTCTCCGATCTATGATGGACTTCGCCGCCGCGAGGTTCTGTGGCTAAGGGGGACTGTGCCTAGTCTTGTCAGACTATACGACATTAGGAGCGCATATAGTCGGGTCACGAATAATCTAACTTTAGACTTTTGATCGCTTCGGGCAGACCCAGTTCCTTCCCGCGGACTAGATGGTAAGTGGTATTGGCGTGAGGAGGTAAAAAAAAAAGAAGAAGAATGGGCCGATGAACCCGGAAGAGAGCAAGCACTGAAGCAATAAGGGCTGTCTATGTTCAGACCTCAACTGTAAATTTGATTGTCGTTGGGAATCGGGAATCCAAATAACAATCACCTGGAGTTGTTTCAAAACTCGGATGTCGGATGTTGCATTGATCGGAACCGGAACCTGTAACCACGTGGCAGATGGCAGAGCAGGGTTAGGGTTCACTCTGCGGGTGGTGCAAGTCCGAGTCGACTAAGTCACTTGCGGCGATACCTCGACAACTGCCGTAAGTCCGCTCTGGAAGTGGTTCCAAGGAAGTGTCGCCACATTCGGCAACAGAATAGTGGAATGTTTAAATGTTCAACTGTCTGCTAGTGGCGCCCCCAGGCTTTGGCTTTGGCTGATACAGCCTGAGTGGCGAATTTGAGCGGAACACCTGTCACACATAGGAAGGAATTGTGTACAGCCAGCCCGCACGTGAACTAAAGGAAACCAAAGGGATGTAATGGAGCATTAATTCGTGAACACACTAATATAGGGGAATCTGGTGATAAAGTGTTTCATGACTTCTTAATGTCACGATATAATTCACTAATTCCACCTCATCTCAGTAGCCAGAGATCGGGGGCAGATTCAATCTTACATGTCTCAGCCTGAGATCCAAAGGTACATTTGTGTGTGCGAGACCCCTCTCTACACTCAACATCCACCTCGATCTTTGCAGACATTCGAGCGATTGTTTATCTGTCGATCAAGCCCAGGCCGTCGTGATTTCAAAGGCCCCGTGGTGTAGCTACACCAATGAGTGGCACGAGATCACAGGTTTTGAACAACAGATCCACGACTTGGGAGGCAAGTCGAAGCTTTGATGCTAAACATATTGAAATCAACGAGATCTCGACCCAAAGGCATCACCAAACACCAACTTGAAATACCCTTTGCAGTGGCGCTTCTTGTTATTTTCAGGCGCAGACTCGTACAGAACTAGTCCAGGACTGGGTATAGTTTTGTTGCGAAAAGCCGTCATGCTAATGGGATTCTGATGGGATGAGCAGGGAACGGCAAGGACGTCGAATGCAGGAACAGGAACCACTGGGCTGTGAACTGAAGCAGCTGTCATATAGACTCGGAAGCAGTATTCTTCTTGACATTGACGGAAAATCACCATTTTTTAGTCTTTCGAAGTGGAGAAGATCGGCGTGCCTTGTCGTAAGCGTGAAGATAACGTAGGCTTCGTGGAAACCATTAGCCCAAATCTCATGCAGAGGGGTAGATTGGTAAGTCTTGTCGGTGGCGCAAATATGCAACCAGCTTTCTGAGTCGTCCAAGTTCATCACATCCAGTATCGAACATCTCTCTATCCATGAGAGAACTAGTGGCACTGTATTATATGTGAGCATAATGTTGTTGTAGCACTAACTGCACCGTGACAGGCAACTTGAAGATGCCAGGACGCAATGCGTTTGGAGAAGCGGAAAGGTGTTAACAAGGCGGAACTTGTAGGGGAGCACAGGGTGGCCTCACAAAATGACATGAAAGTGTGAAGGCCTCAGGGAAAGAAAGCAGGCCCGGGCTGCAGGCACTACACTCGTCGATCAAAATACAATGATCAGCGAGAAATGGTCTTGAGGACTCCTGGCAGCCTCAGGGCGCATAGAGAAGAAAGGGACGGGACGCAACAAGGCCGGGCATTTGTGCCTGTAATTAGCAACTGAATTCTACATGTAGATACTAGATAGATTGCGGGGTTTGGCTCGTTTGTAGCTTAGGGTGTGATCTTTAGGACTAGGACCAAGCTGGCAAAGGCCCGAATCAGGAACAGTACTTTGTCACGCGTTCAAGTTCTGGCCTCGAGCTACCAGTATAGCTGGCTTGGCTTGGGCTTGCCAGTACATCTACTGGAGACAGACGGGACGGCAAGCAGGACGCGGCAAAAGGAATGACAAGGACTATTTCTACCGACCTCCGAGTCCGGACCGTCTCGGACAGGTCGGTCGGGAGAATAGTGGTGGCGAGCTACCGTAAAGCGGTCATTGTTGTCCGAGTCTCGGGTGTGGCAAGTTCTCATGACGGCAGCTCACCCCGACAAGGATTTCAACACCGGCAAGATTCAGTGCTGCGGATCTTCTCGTTGCTATTTCTACGTCGTTCTCCCCTTTGTATTTACTGTGCACTGGCAGCCTGCCTCGTTACCGAGCCGTTCATTTGGCGTCGAGTCGTCCGCGCAGCTGCATGCATCTCTACCTTTGGCGCCTCACAACGGCCCGGCTGCCAAACCGAGGGTTCCCATATTTCTAGATGGTACGTTATTTGTTCGACGCTGCGACGTACTATATCGTACAGGGTCATCGTCACTACCAAGCAACCGTCACTTTCAAATAACTCAAACAATACTTGTTCAATCTCTACCAAAATTTAAATATGTATTCTATACAGCAACCTTTATGCATTGTATAAGTTTTTATCCAGCGCAGAGGTCATAAACAAGTGATGGATTTCATGGGTGGGTGTCACGTCTGCCGGTTGAGCGGCATGTCGGAGTTTAGAAAGTAAGGCCATAAATGGACACACGAGACGGTAACAACTATGACCTTTGTCGTCCCTTCCTGTGGTTGCCTGTCCACAATTATTTCTCCAAAATGTGAAAATAAAATAAACGCTGCCAATTGTCCAAGTTCTATACAAAAAAATCTTCTGCTGTTAGTTTTTAAAAATTGACCAAGTCAGGATTTGAACCCAGGACTCCTTAAATTGGGCCGGAGGCAAAAATAGGCACTTTAACCACTGAGGCATTCAGCCATAAATTTATTTTTTACATTATCATATATATCAAGCCGACTAATCAGTGCAGTATATATAAAGGTTTGGTCCCGTGTCACAGAACTGAATAGGACGATGTGGTACAGGGGTAAGAAGAATTGTTATTGTTTGGGGGAAAACCCCAGTTATTTATACATGAGTTTATGGATATTGAGATACCAAAACGAGCAGCGTGATGTAACTAGCGGATGCAACTCTTATAGTATATGGAAGGTCACTTGATTATCTAATGTCATGCTACCGAAGAAGCGAGCAAACAGAAAATGCGACTAAAAGACCGTCCCGTCATCACGTAAAAGGTCGCTTAGGAAGCGGACTTCGAATTATTTTGATCAGTGTTCGGCCCGCATGTGACAGTGCGTGACAATGACGGTTTTCTGGTAGTGACGATGACCCTGTACGATATAGTATCACCTGGCACACTGGACCTTGGACTTTGTACAGTATTCCCAGCTCTAGCTCCGTTCAGGGGCTTGAGTATAGTACTGTAAGAATGTCGTGCCTGTCCATAGTTTTAGTTTGATCGGCTTGTTGATCGAAATCCTGATTTCAGGGTCAATGACCGAAGCTGCTCTTTTTCTGACATTCTCCGACCTCTTGCCCCGTTGCGACCATATACTTGAGGTACCGTGAGGTTTTCTACCTAGAGTCCGGGAAGATCTTGTGAGAAGCTGATGGTATGGGCTCAAACTCGGCAAGACCAAATTAGTCGCATCCCGCCGTTGAGCTCGAGCTCCCGCATCAAGTTTACCTTGGTTTGATCACTTCAACTTGAGCGAACCCAGGCAGTTGAGATGATCTTGTGGCGTATAAAGCGCCAAGTCGTGACGGACATGTGACGTCGCGCGTTCCCTCAATGGCGATTGTTTGCCGTGAAATTCAGTTACATCTAGAGGGTTTGCTCGCACTCGCACTCGACATATTATATTCATCACAGACTTTCAATGAACAAACACCTAGTCTGACTGCACCGGACAGACCGGTGCACTCATCGTGAGCTGATGTTGGGGCATATTGAGTTCGGCGCTTATTTTCGTTTAAAATTTTTTTTAGTTCATTTCATTTGAAGGTGCCGCATCATAAAACTTTACGTTATTGTACTATCGCCTGTATTTCCTAAAACATGTCGGAGAGAGCTAATTCGATCCCGATTGGGCCCTCCCCTCTAAAACTTGACGGCACAAGCGCATTCGCCATATATATCGGCTAACACCTCTGACCAAATCACTTCTCGTCTCCCTTTCCCCTGCCATGGCAAAGGAGCTACCTTTCGATGCGGTGTCAGTTTTAGGCAAGTTATCTTCAGTTTTTTTACCCGCTCTTCCATTGACATTCGTTGTTGCCTTACAGGTATACTTTTACTGGCCATCCTTCGTAAGTGTCAGGATAACTCATCATGCAGCAAATTCTGAATCCTTTGAGTAGTGAATGCGTATTTCTGTGGAGTAGTCAGCCAACAACAATACACGTATTGGACTAGCGGTGGGTTTCAGTTTTGGTCGTAGATATCATGGATGCGAATATATATGCCCAGGTTTCAAGGACTCAATATATCTGAGGTGAGCATCAATGACTTATCTTCTATCACTATTCATTTTTGTAGGATTTTTATTGTTGCTCAGTATATCCTCGTTCTCTTCCAAACCGTCATGTATGTCTTCATTTCCAGCCCTCGATTGACTAAATCGAACCATGCCAAAAACAGGCTATGGCAGCTGGCTTGGACAGTCTAGTATGCTCCCAGTTCTCTATCAAGACGATTCTCATCCATGCACTCCCTAGTGTCGATAACTATGGTCTAGCTATGAATAATTTATGTCTGTTATACATTACGACTATGTCCTGGTCTTTCGCTCACCCCCGTCTAAGCGATAACATGGCAGGGACCTGTCAACTCGTCATGCCAATGCGTCCTCATTATAATGGCGAACGTATTCCTCGCTGTCCGGTTAGTTTCACATGATTGTGGATGGGTGATCCTTGATTGACCATCGTTTTAGCATTTACAGCCTAACAAAGTCCCGGCTGCAGAGTGGACTGGTCTTTGGATTCTCCCTTGCGGCGTTCGTCGCTGGAATAGTGACTATAGCAACAACTTGGCCTGTGAAAAGGTAAGGCGGCTGCCGTACCGAACCTTCGAACCCTTACTGATACGTGCTGAAGCGTCACAGAAAGTTTTACTGGGTCACAGAGTGCTGCCTCGACTGTGTGGCATTCATTGCAGGCTGTCTCCGAGTGCCTCATCATGTGTGCGTCATGGTTCAATCTGTTCACGACGAGACTGATCATTCTTCCGTATAGACTTCCTTTCCCGAGCGCTGCTGGCGTCCCGTAGTGGTCTTCAGAACTCGGATGGCGTTATAAATGATCTCGTTCGCAACGTCTTTCAATTGGGAGTCATTGCAACGGTCTGGGCCTTCGCAGAGTTGGGGACGTGGTACCTACTACCAAAATCCACGGTTTATACAATATTTGACATGACATCGGGGTCAATCTACACGCACGTAAGTGGTGATTGTTTTCTCCAATAAGAAAAAGTTCACGGGATGCGACCTATCAGATGATTTATGACGGGCTATTATCACGCACTAGATTACGTGAGCGTATGGCAGAACGAAGCCAGTTCGATGTGGGATTCCCTTCGCAGGTGCGTATTTGGCTTGAGTGATATCGTATTTTATGCTGAATGAAATGATCGCGGCTCATATTAAGTCGCTTTCGCAATCGCTTGATGGAAAGCGATTGTCGAGTGGACGTCGGACGCAGAATGGAACGCAGGTCATGGTTTCCCGAGTAACGATGACGGATTACAGGACGACTGCCCAAGTCATATCATCAAGTCAATCTGGAACAATCAAAGACAGTGGCTCTGACATTGAAAGTGCACCCGCGGGGAAGTCAGATATCGAATATGAGTTTCCGGAGGAATGAGATTGACGAGATTTCACTTCAAGTTGATTCCAAAGTTATCTAATCAGTCATCCAGGAGTCCAAAGGAAAGATTCAGGGCTTTCCCGTATTGTTGTGTGTTCTTAGGCTTGTAGAAAGTACTCTCCGGGTCATACCCTCTCGTGGCGTCGCATGAAAAGTTCAATCCCTGTGTAGTCTCAGGCTCAGCTTCTCTACGCGCTCATTATTATCTAATCAACTCGACCTGGGGAGTTAGCACATGCAATAGGCACTAGAAGTCCCAGTCGATGGGGGTCTGCGTTTCTTCGAAATATCATTCGCAACAGAGCATATGCTCACCCTCACCAGTTGTCTGAAAATTCAAGACGGCCCAAGCCAAAGTCTCGCCTCTTCGCACTGGTTTCATTCCATATACTATTGAACGTTGAGTTGAGGAGATGAGAGTGTCCATAATGTAACTTGCCTCAACCCAGGCCAGAGAGCACGAGAGGACCGGAATCTCAAGCTAAGATCGTCAAATGGCTTCGGTAGATGTAAAAGTAAGAAAACGCTCTTCGCAGGACGATCGCCCAGTGAGATAGAGAAAAGCCGCGAGTCGGTACGAATCCCCGTCCTTCTTCCTGTGCGGCTTTGTGGCAAGATGTCAATGATCAGCCCCGCCAATCTCTAAGCGGGTAGATCCAAATCCTCTTGTCTCCATTGAGTGTATGGGCCTTCCAACAGCGCAAGCAAGGAGCGTATGCTCTTTGAGAATCTCTTCGCACAAATTATCCTTCTCCACTGTGTGACCATGAGGCTATCCCAGGAGACGTTGGATGCACTTTGTATGCCGAGACCGCGACTTCCAGAGCTATTTATGACCTCCTGGGTATATATGCGGATATCTTCTTCCATCTTTGCGGCTAGAATGGAGTCATTCATGTAAGAGTGTTAACGAATAACACTTTGACTGATGTATGTTTAGTTCGATATCATCCTCAGGGGCTCCGGCCTCCGTGCTCTGAGGCTCCGAGTTTTATGGGAGGTCGAACAGAGCATTGGATCACCTGAGTGGTTCAAGGAGGCGTTCAAAAAGGCACGATAGCTTTGGCTACCACAAATGTTAACGACCCTCCCTGGGGCGAGCAATTCAGGGAATGGGCGTAGATATCCTTTTCGGTAAGTTCAAACAATTTGCCGCAAGAACGTATCAGGCCAGTAAGAAAAATGTGATCATGAGGGTGAAGATAACGTGATTGCGGCATAGAGTACTTCTAATCAACTCTGGGTAACAGATCTGGATATTTCTTGCTATGACCGGGACGAGAAAGAGTAAGATTCGCTGAGCTTGCATCCAAAGATGAGGTATCATTAAAGACGCTCCCATGGCGCAATTGAGAAAGCAAGATGGGGGTAACAGGTCGTGAAGGTCCGGGGAGCGAGATACTTGCGCGACTTGCTGCCGATCCCATCGCTGCACATTCGACTGGAGGTAATGATAACGAAGAAGAGGGTGGTAATGTCAGAGATGAAGAATTGAGGGATGCCATGGATGAAGAACCCACCTGTGTGACTGATCCTCTATGATAATAACTTACTGATAGCACGATTACAATGAAAAAGGTAGGCCCTACTGGCAGCTGGTCGAATAAGGGTGACGACAAGAACAAAACAAGCCGCGAGCGAGATGAGATTCTGGATTGTAGGGAGATCATGTCCAGACAACCAGGCGACCACACTTCGGCTCTTAGGTGGTGTTATACGCAGTAGACATGAATGACCCCTGAAGAGTAGACGTTCGAACATGGCCGCATAGTTCTGATCATGGAAGCAGTGAAGAAATGCAGTGGGAATACCGAAGCGTTCAGGAACACCCTCCATGCGGCTCTGCCAGTGGCATTCGGGGGAGAGATAGTGGCCATCAGTCTGAGCGCATTGGAGGATAGAGGAAAGGCATGTCGAGATCGCGATTGCGATGCGATGACAATCAGTAAATTACCATAGATTCATTCATTTAGACTTTCAGTACCTAGGCTAGCTAGAGCACTAGTTTAGCATGTTTGTGTCCGCAGATGGACTCTCCCGTTTTT